TAATTTTATTTTTTAATATTATAAAAGTATGTACAATCGATTTAACACTACCGAAAGAGGCCAGAATTCTGACCAATCACCGTTGCGAAAAAAATCTTTAATTCATGTGCGCAGTTTTTGAAGCGGAGCGAGTACCGACGAGGCGGTCGTTTACTGCATCGCATGCAGGTTGACTTGGAAAAATCCGTCCTCTGTTGATTCGTTGGCCATTGGAATGATTGATTTCTAGATTTTGCGTTTATTGCTGTTTCAATGACGGTAAGATCCTTAAAGGTTCGATGTAATTCTGCTTTTTATCTAGGTAATATTTGACTGTGAGGCATTTTCTCACCAGGCATGCTGACTGTTTTCGCTCCACCAAACGCCCAGCTGTCTTGTGTTGATTAGACATGTCAGGACAGGATGTCACCCCCGTGCCGTTCGTGCAATTTGATTCCATCCACCATCCACTTTGCCCCATTGGCATGATCGGCATTTTGGCGCGTAGTAATGATGATAGCATTGGAGGAATGAAAACATTCAGGATGATCGCAGAGGTGGCCAAGCAAGTCAATTTTTGCAAGTCTGCATGTGTGAGTTACTTTAGTGCAGGCTAAGCCAAGTCACAAGGCACTCCAGTCACTAGCCCCGTTAGTGTGGCACTAATGATCACTCCCGATTTATCCTTAGCCACACATCCGTCTACGCAATTTTCGTGTCGGCGTATCGAACATTCTGGCGCACCCACTTATCATTGTGGGTGCAATTTCTTGAGGGGTCAAGTGATGTAATGTTCAACGACCTTATTTTAAAGATGGCGACTGTGAGAGCGAGTCTGTGAGATTGAATGGGTGAAGGCAAAAAGACTGGAATGTAGCAGAACAACTTGTATGAAATCATTCAATAAATGGCGCTAAGAAAGTGGAGAGGCTAAGGATCATCGCTGTGTGCAAAAAAAATTGCGCCTAGAATTATAAGAGGGTGCGCCAAACTTGTTCACTACGCTGACACGCAAATTGTGTGGGTAAGAATGCAGCGGAAGCGAGAGTCTGTGCCACACTATAGTGTTTGACCACCTCACACGTATCAGTACCCCAGGGGAAACCCTGTTCTCCATACAAAAAGACACTGTTGCTACACTACAGTATACCTCGTGATTTGGGGCAAGCTTTTCCTTAGTTACATAAAAGAGACGCCTTTCCTCAATACGCTGTTGTCTATGGATAAGAAGGGCACAACGAAACCAGTCCATTCCAGAGATGGTAGTTGCCATGCAAAAGTTTGCCCCAAATCACAAGGTATAGCAACAGTGTCTTTAGTCTGGGGAATTCAAATCGTTATGTTTATGTGGAATCAGATAACTCAGTGTACCAGATTTTATTCAAATTTAACTTGCAAAAAGCTTATTGAGCCAGTCCAAGTTGTGAACTTCCACACGTTAATGAAGACTTTTGCTGGTATCCAGTTTGCACTCACCAATGCAATCATACCTTGGTTAGGTCATAAAAGTAAAGTCATGATGCATCGGATTTGATCCCCAGTCATTGTGGTCACGCCGGTCTATGTAGGCTACAGTGAAACAAAATGCTTTGGGAAATTTCTTGACATACCCTGTGCTAAAAATGAAACAAATGATTTCCAGTTTGTATTGGTCAAATATGAGGTACTCGGAATAAAAAGTGCTGGAACTAAAGGACAACTGTTCATGTACATGTATGCCCAGTCCGTGTCACTAAAATTCTACAAATCATCTTTTTAAACGAAAACAAGATAAGTAATGTTTGATATATTTCGTCTGGTGATAGTATCACCCACACCTTGAGCTGTGTTGAGTGTGTCAGTCCGCCCGTAGGTACATGTACATGTGTATGTAATCGGCTGCGTACATAACCCACATGTATACTCAGGGAGGTATTGGATGCGTGGAAGGATAGAAGATGGTATTATCCTTGCCGTGCACGTGCAATTGTGCTTGTAGTAATTGTATCACACACACACGGGGGTTTGTTGTGTTTCAATCCATTACAGGTGCATGTACACATACACATGTAATCAGCTGCCTCCTAAAAATTCACCATGAGCTGGGTAGTGGACGAGTGGAAAGACGGCCTCCCGGCCAAGGCGCTGCAGAAGATCCGGGAGATGGAGACCAAGTTGGAGCGTCTCAGCAAGGAGCACAAGCAGAAGCAGTTCCAGCTGGAGAGCCTAGAGGCTGCTTACCAGAAGCAGGTCAGATTAAGTTAACCTGATCAGAGAAAGGCAAATGCGCTCAGCATGAAGAATTAATGCTTAATCAAATTAGGCTATGATACCAGCCCATGCGTTATGCATTGTCCATCATCTGTGAATGGTTCTCTGCTGTGCATTTCCTCATGTAAGTGGCAAAAGGGGCCCGGTGTATTGTAGTATACAACTACATGTACACTGCTTTCATTGACTTCAAGATGGCTGCTTTTGAGTTCCTTCGGTTCCGCTTCTCGCACCATTTTGCTCTAATTCCTGTGATTTATTTTCCCTGTTTGTTGATATTGAGTACAGGTAGGGCATATAAGCTGTAAACAAACTAAGTCACAAAGCAATGTGCTCACCTGATGGGAAAAAAATGCTCTCCTGCTGTCTTTATATGTCATTGTGCGTCACATCATGCATTAACATTAACCTCCATTTCCATGCAGCTTCGGAAAACGGAAGAAGAAAAGAACGTGCAGGGCACACTGAAGCGAGACAACCAGAACCTGGCGGAGACATGCCAGGAGCTGGAACGCAAGCGGGAGAAGGTCATGCATGACCTACAGGCTAAGGAGACACTAGTGTCTTGTCTTGAAGGCAAACTGTCTCACAGTCAACAACAGCTGGAGGTGGAGACTAACCGAGCTGTGCAGGTAGGCCAAACTGTCAAGACCTTGGTTCCATGCACTGTGGGTTAGATATGACGGGTGGGTACTTTTTTCTTTATAAAGGCACCCTGCACTAGAAATGTTGGGGTTTCAGAATCTTGGCTTTGTCTCCATCCTCAACTTAATACTTCAATTTATGAAATTGTTTTTTGAGTTGAGGCCGTTTTAAGGCTCAAAATTGCTTACTTTCTGTCGTTGGAACATCCGCTTATTTAATATGAGGCCAAGGCTTGGATCAGTTGCCTTTTTGTCGTTTACAGTAAATGTTCACAACTGGTTGTTGAACTGAGGATGAAGCCCAAAGATGGAGGTCAATCTGAGATGTGAAAAAAATCCCTTTTATTCCGAGCCAAAGAGCACCCTAATAATGGCAGAGAAAAGACAAACTGTGGAAATCTTTTTCAGGCCACGCTGGTACGCTCGTAGCTGGTGCACAAATAAAGACAGGACGTTCAAACAGGAGTTGGTTGCACATGTTCCTTGTGTCCCACGCCAAATGCGCACAACCTGAGCATGCATGTGATGCATGTGCGTTCCTACCAAAGGACTATTATTGCTTTGAAGAGACGTGCCCCCCTCTTGTTCGAGGTTCGGAGCAGATACAGGTGTCGTGAGCCACAGCGGCTACTGTTTACGCAGCGGTCTGCCGTTTTTTCCTCATCACACAGGTGAAGAACGAACTGGAGAGGGTGCAGCTGGAGCACAACGCCTGCCTCCAGAGGATGGAGAAGCTGAGTGCCGACCACACCCGGCTGCAGGAGACTTACTCCCAGCAGCAGCACCGGCTGGAGAGCCAGAACAGCCGCGTCAAGGCCCTGCAGAAGGAGTCGTCCCAGCTGAGGGACAAGCTGGACATACAGGAGGGCAGGCACCGCAACTTCAGCTCCTCGTCTCAAGGTGCGCTTGGGGTGCAGTTTTGATAGGACAGGGAAGTTAAAATTTTCAATGCCTAAAGTTCGCACATCTGCACAAGCATCATTCCATGTTGTGTTGTTTAAAATAGGTTTACGGTGAATGTTTGTTTACGCTAGATTGGTTCTGTCAATTTGTACTTGATAGTCGTTTGCACTGAAGTCAAGGTAAACAGCATATGCATCGTTGCTATGGAGCATTTATTTTTTATTTAATAGGGAGCTCAGCAAGCGAGGATGAATACACGTCCATGAAGCAGCAACTTAAAGATATGGAGGCTGCCAAGATGAGAGAGATCGCCCGCGTCAAAGAGCTTGAAGAGCTTCTAGCTCAGACCAAGGTAGGATTTCAGAGGATTTGAGCTAGAGAGCATGGGGTCTTTTGGTAATAAGCTATTTATTTCTAGACAAGCGTGGACGGCAAGTCTCAGTTTTGTTACATAAACTGAAGCCACTATTTTTTCTTTTTAGGCTGACACTGCTCATGTGTGACGTTTGAAGTGTTACAAATGGAACAGAAATGATTATTTCATATTTCCTGGAAGTAAATTCTGTTGTAAGAAGCAAAAGCTGGAAATAAGGATCCTACATCAACTGAACTCCCTCTGTCCACATTTGTGTTTGACATAATCTCTTAGATTCTGGCAGTTTCGTGAAACTTTAACCAACTCAGATCCTTAAAAAAATTGAGTGGGACATTTTGGAGAATCCATGAGGTATGAGAAATTTTCAAAGCAGAAAAAAAATGACTAGTTTTGTGAAGTCAACCCTAACCCTCTCAGATCCATCAAAATCTGAAGGTATAGCCTAACCACTAATACTTTACATAGGGCTTGGTGCTTCTTGAAAATTGAAGTCCAAAGAAATTGCAATGAGTTATCTACACAGTGAAGGATTTTTCAGGATTCAGGAAATTTCCTTGTAATTCACAATCCACTCATTGTAGACGAGCAACACCGTCGTTCCACCAAAGGAGCAACCTACCGCTGACCTGATGAGCTTTGACAGCCCTGCTAAGCCCCCTAAGAAGGTCGCCACACCATCCTCAAATGATGAGCTGACTAACAAGCATGCACTGCTGGACATGGAGAAGACCGTCCGTGACCTGAAGAAACAGAATGAAGGTAGCTTGCATGCACCTTAGCGTGGGGTTAAAATCGTCAGGTGCACTACGAAGTGACGTATCTCGGATAGTAGCCACTCCACGAACTGACGTATCG